TGCATTATTAGTACATGCACTTTCTGTATTTCTCTAGTCGCTTGGCATTAGTACATACACTTTCTGTATTTCTCTAGTCGCTTGGCATTAGTACATACACTTTCTGTATTTCTCTAGTCGCTTTGCATTATTAGTACATGCACTTTCTGTATTTCTCTAATCGCTTGGTCAAGTTAAACGCAATTTGGTCTTTTTCTTGTTGTTATTGTTGTTTTTTAGAAGTTGTGCTTTAGTACAGTCTGTTTTACTAAACGCTGGTAACTAATAATTTTTTTCTCTGTCTCTGTAGATGTCAAACATCTAGATATGTTTATCTAGTTACAGGTAGATATATACTTTGTATTTCACTAGTTAGTCTCTGAAAAAAAAAAGACTTCATAAAAACTGATTTAACGTTTCTCAAATAATTTAGCTATATTATTATGCTACGTCTCTTAAAGCTGTTACACTGCAAGTTCACAATAGGCGATGATTGGTTAGCTTGTCAATATATTTCTGTAATGCAGCGAATGAAATATTATTTATCTCATTTCAATTGGCTGGTTTTCTGGGGCATAAAGTGCTTAACTAACAAACTTTCTTCCTGTCTTATCCATCTACTTACCTTGTCTAATTATTTATAGTATTCAAGCTCACAACAAGAGGGAACATTTTATTTGGTCAATAAATATAAGGCTGTTGTTTAATAAGGTATTCCTATAAGATTCGATCCACACTATAATGAGTGAATCTTAGAAATAACCCATCTCTAATTATGCAAATAAAATGTACACTGAGACAGCTTTTCATTTTTATTTACCCTCTTACATTATAAAATTATTTAGCATATTTTATGATAACATTAGACACTGAGCTTGAGACAATAACAACAACTCTATTTGGGTAATAGTACGGTGTGTTGATAAATAGCAACAACTCTAATTAGGTACAAGTACGGTGTGTTGATAAATAACAACAGCTCTAATTGGGTACTAATACGGTGTGTTGATAAATAACAACAACTCTAATTGGGTACAAGTACGGTGTGTTGATTCGTTTATTGTCTTTACGCAATAAAAGAATAAATAAGTTGTTTTAACGACATAATTAAAATTGACTATAAACGTAACAGTAAATTAAGTCTCAAAAACCACATTAGAAAAAAACAATTCCAACTATTTGAATTAAAGACTATCATGAATGTGATCTTTACTTTAAGGCAAAAAGAATAAAACAGCGATTATTTTTCTTCTTGGTATTTGTGAGTGAGAGAATTGAGTGTGTAATGGAAGAAAAGTAAATTGGATCTTTCCTGATTTTAGATCATATTCTAATAATTCTCTTATGTATATACATTGCCTTGCAAAAATATTCACCCCCCTGCAAAGTTTCCACAGTTTGTTGCCGTCCGAGATTGCAATCATGAAACTTTCAAATGAGACTTTACTTTTTGAATCTACTCCAAATGAGAAAGACTAAAAAAAAAAAAAAAACGACTGATATTATGTAGGTAAGTTTGATTTTCAAAGAAAATTACAATATCTTCGAATGCATAAGTATTCAACCCTTTTGCTAGGGCAACCTTAACTTAGCTGAGGTGCTAAAGAGTAGTTTGAAAGGTCACAAAATCAGTGTAATAGTCTCTATCTATGTGTAATGAAAGTGGGTTAACTTGATTTCAGAGTAAATGCATCTGTTCAAGCTACAACTCACACTGTGATGTGAAAAACCAATCATGGAGACCAAGGAGCTTTCCAAACAGGGATGAAGTGACAGAGAATCACAGATCAGGAGAAAGTTACAAGAAAATTTCAAAGTTGCTAATTATCCCTTTAAGTACAGTGAAGTCCATCATTAAAAAGTGGAATGTGCTTCATACCACCCAGTCACCACCCAGATTAGGCTGTTTTTTCAAATTATGCAGCCAGGCAAGCAGGAAACCGGTTAGGAATGCCACTGTTAAGCCAGCAGTGACTTTGAAAGATTTGTAAAGTTCCATGTCTGAGATGGGAGTCAGTATTTATACATCTATACAAAACTAGCCTGTATGGGCAAGTGACAAGATAGAAGCCATTACTAAAAAGGAATCATTATAAATATCGTATGGAGTTTGTGACAAAGATGTAGATGATACTGCAGATATGTGGCAGAAGGTTTTGTGGTCATACGAGATAAAAATTGATAGTAAATGTAAAGCCTATAAGTAAGCCGCTAGCCTACTAGAAGGTTTTCTGTGCGTAGACGTTTGTATTTCCTTAGAGTTATCCACAAAATATCATTCTGTATGGAATGAAAGAAATGTTCGGTTCCCAACTAATTCAAAGCTCCCTAGAGGAATACATCTAAGGAAAGTTAATCTTACCCACCTTTATGTGGAGAGTTTGTAATTTGTGTGTCACGGTAAATGTTGCTTCCCTACCTGTGAGAGGCGATGGAGCTGTCAGCACCCCACTCTTCAAGAATGATGGTTTTTGTTGGAGATCATGACTGTCATTTGTCAACAGCGAGCCTTTTGGTGTCAGAGAGTGTGTTATTGGCAACTAAACTTTATTCACAAGTTGACCGAACCCCCATTCTTTGGAAAGGACAAGAAAAGTCTCAGATTGAAAGTGTGGGATCAATACATTTCTGCATGAAAACAGCTTTTAAGACCTGCCACGTCAATTTGTATATTCCGGCTATAAGTTTCTTTGTAATAGACATGTTGTGTATGCACTAGGTCTGTGAACATTTATATATATATATATATATATATATATATCAGAATTAATATGTTTAGCTGGTAATAACTTTACAAAGACCAACCACAAGCTGGGACTTTCTTTTATTTATAAATTTGTTTTTCATGGAATATGTCAGACGAGCCGAAATATTTGACTAGTTCTAAAAATGAAACTAGATATTCGCAAACGTATGTGTGCTTGTCAACAAATTAAATAGTTTGTTTCTATTTTTTAACATTCCGAGTTGATATATGTTCTTTGACTTTTAAAATTAACATATATTTGCAAAACTAAAGAAAATAAGAGGGATCAACTTGAATTATCTGAATAATAATCCCAGTCTACAGACGAAGTACGTCTACGAAACAACCACAACTTTATATGGAGACAGGAATATCTTTGGAAAACCTGTATTTTCTGCAGAAGCGATAATGAAGGACATATCAGTAATTATAATCGAATAGACAGATATGTAACGAAGAAGTCGTTACAAAATCTCAGGATCACTTACTATTAAACTTTCTCAATTTGAGGAAGAGGCAATCGGTCGAGTAATGATATTTCATGTATGTAAGAAACGCGATAGTCATGCGTGGTTTACAGTGTGTAAAAATACCCATTTAAACCCATGAGTGGTAAAGCATTTTGTACTTTCGATTTCTTCTTTCCTTATAAAAAAATTAAGATTCAGCACATCAGCGTCTCCACTATGATACATTATTTGGTCAGTGTGAACATATGAATGTGTATCTCAACACTTAACTCATTACCTTCACGAATCACAAGGAAAATGTGTTTAAGGAATAAGTAAGAGTCTGTTTTTCGTAGGGAAAGAAATATGTGGGTCAAAAACAGAAAGAAAGAGTAAAAGTAAACAAAAACGCTAAAAATACTTTCAGTGCTAAGTGCTATTTAATCATAAATATGAATAATAATAGCGTATCCATATTTTTTGGCACAATCTTTATTGAAATTACTTGGTTTATCACGTATTAACCAACAATGTCAAAACATTATTTTAATTATATAATCGATTGTTTCAATATTTATACCACGTTGAAATGTTTTAAGCGTCATAATCGATTTGTATTCAACGAATTATTTCAATATTTATCTTTAAGTACATTTGATGGTTTATTAAAAGGCACGGCTAGTGTACTGAATGAACGTTTTTAATCGTATGTTGACTCCTTATAACGAGGAACTTCCCTACATAGTTTATGTGTGAATGGAAGTTTTCATTAAATATTAATAAAATACGTTTCTTCGTATTCTACGACTATCACTCGTGCAGAAATTCTGTTCCATCTTTCTTGCGTGTGACCACAAGTCTTCATAATTAACTTTATTTTATTTGTAAGAGTAGAGTAGAGAATGGAGGAAACGTTTTACCTCTAATTACTGACAGCAGAGCACGTGGCCTAGCCTGCTTCCCTAAAAAACAAAAGACTAGACAATGAAATCTGTAGGGATGATATTATGATGATACCATACTGGGCATTATACCATACTTATTATATTAACTTTTCATTGCAGAAATGGCGTTTTGAATTTCAAAATCGCTAGGAAAATCATCTTGCAATGCATCGTGCTGCAACTTCAACACCTCATGATTGGGCTTTACTGTGGTGTCAGTTTCATAAAATGTTGAAACTAATGACTAATCACATAATTCCAATCCCACTCTTTCAAGATAACTATAGTATTGTTCCCGTTCTTCGTTGTTATTTTTTTTCTATGTGTTTCATTGTCAATGCAGTAATCAATTGGCGAATCTCCGATTCAGCTTGTATGTCAAATCGATTGGGATATCATCGAATAAGTCATTCCATCATCTGACCTGGAACCACGGTTTAGCTTAATCGCTATATTTAAACCATCACATTCGCAACCACATCTAAAATGTTTCAGACATGTTTCATTGCTATGTCGTTTACCTTCTCTGGCAGGTGATGGGTTTGATCCAGCGACCTCAACTTTGAAAACAGTGCTATAAACGTCTTCTTTTTGTGTAATTAAAAAAATCCAAACCTTTCCGGAATCACTGAATTTTTTCGATCCACATCAAGATATCAGCCTGGCTCGTGTGGTAAGTATTAATAGCATTCATCATGATATAATCACACAAATAAAACCTATATCATATTAATATTTCTCAGAGTTCGATTTACAAGGCAAAGTACAGATGGCGCTACATTCTTGCAAATTTCCAAACGTCGATGTTTACAGAAGAGATGCGTATAATACCTGGCCTGGGCAGATTTTTCAGTGAGCTGCGTGACTTTGCTAGAAACAGTTTCTAGTGAGAATTATCATGTCGAGTTAATGTAGCATCATTTAGAGCAGATGACTTTAAAGTGAAAGTATTAATGATAAAAGAAATTGAACAGTTCAGATGTTGAAGAACATCTGAAGTATAAAAGTTACCATGTACCACAAACAAATAACAATAAATCTCGAAGAGTAGTTATTTGTTAATTTTTCGAAAATTCGACGTTCTTAAGCTTATAAACACAGAATATTATTATTATTATACTGGATGAAAATATAGGAGAAATGTATCTCCGAGAAGCAAGAAGAATCTAGAATATTTTGGTGACCAAAAACAACAAACCTACTGTCATGAAAAAGTTAAAATTCTGTACATTTTTCTCGAGTTTTCTTCTGTGGATCCACGCTCCTGAAAGTCTGGGACAGAGTTCAGGTAAGTTAAGATATTCCTTGTCGTGATATACTATGTTGTTTGAAAGCTAGGCTACAAACAACTACAGTTGCTTATACCATTGATTCAACGAATTAATAACAAAGAACTTTAGATCAGTAAAAGAACGGGTAAATGACATCATACCAGAACGATTCCACAACATTTTATTATATTTAATAAAAACAGTTTCAGAAAGGTTACAGGGCATATTACAGTTATGTATAAGAAAATATTGTCTTATCTGACATTGCTTTAACAAACAACATTTGATTCTACTTAATATATATATAAAAACAGTTTCAGAAAGGTTACAGGGCATATTACAGTTATGTATAAGAAAATATTGTCTTATATGACATTGCTTTAACAAACAACATTTTATTCTACTTAATATATATATAAAAACAGTTTTAGAAAGGTTACAGGGCATATTACAGTTATGTATAAGAAAATATTGTCTTATCTGACAATGCTTTAACAAACAACATTTGATTCTACTTAATATATATATAAACAGTTTCAGAAAGGTTACAGAGCATATTACAGTTATGTATTAGAAAATATTGTCTTATCTGACAATGCTTTAACAAACAACATTTTATTCTACTTAATATATATAAAAACAGTTTCAGAAAGGTTACAGGGCATATTACAATTATGTATAAGAAAATATTGTCTTATCTGACATTGCTTTAACAAACAACATTTTATTTTGATAGTCTTTCAAGTTAATACCTTACAAAATATGTTTTTAAAATTCAGTTTTATCTAATCTTACTGGTAGATATCAAGATCAAATAATTCAATACAAATAATTAATGTGAATTTGTCAATATTTGATGATCAACAAATGGTATTAATAACCTATATTTCAATACGGCTTTGGTAATTCTAAAGACATTGCCTACACGTTTTGTACACATGGTGCAATATGCAGGTTTAGTTGTTGGAAGTCAACATTATGTATACATTATTTACACGCTAATATCTGGATCTTCCTTTTCCTTAATTGACGAAAATCGCCATCATCTTTGGCAACGTATTAACATTTTCATAGTGGCATCTCTGACGTCATACGAGCCTATTCGTTTTTGTTTTATTTTACTTTTGTGGGTTTTCCATTATTTGTAGATAACAATGCATAAACTAATTGTTTTGCTGTTCCAGTGTGATGGAATAAACTTCTAATCTGTTTCTTACTTTATTTCTTTAATATTTTAGGCTCTACTGCGTGAGTATATTTTATAATGTAATCAGTTATACGGTTGTTTGAGACTGATAGTTTGTTGGTTTGGGTTTGACTCCTTTGGGTTCATGGGCTTACTCATGCTCTTGCACACTACCATACACATAGCTGTGTACGCCCTTATTATTTGGCTTATAGTCTGGTGAATCAAAGTTAGCACGTGTGATAACCCCATATCCATTTGATCTTGTGGATACATTATTTTAACTGTCATGGGTGCCCCCTCAGTGGCACAGCGATATGTCTGCGGACTTACAACGCTAGAATCCGGATTTCGATATCCGTGGTGGGCAGAGCACAGATAGCCCAATGTGTAGCTTTGTGCTTAATTACAAACTGTCAAGGGTATGGATAAATCTTTAACTACTTTATGTGCTTTGTGATGCCCTAGTTATTAGGAAGCCTAAGTCAATTCTAGCTATTCTAAAAACACGCGCCATCGATCCAACAAGCAGTGTTGGTTTCCTTATTGTACGCTTTACCATCTTCGTGGATTTTACAAGTGTAATATATATTCTGTAAGGATTTTTTACCTGCTAGCTTTTGGTAATCGTTCATTATCATTAACCAAGGTTTCCTGCAAAATTATTCTATCGAGATGCTGTTGCTAAGATATATGTTAGTGTAAACAATAGAGGTTATATACATCAAATTATTAAATAAACTGCATTGAATATCTGTCAATACGTAACAGTTTAGCATAATATGAATGGATTGGATACCTTTTTGTATTAGTCATATACATTCACAGTAGGCCATCAGTTATGAAATGTTAGTGAGTAAACACAATTTTCCTTGAAAACTTAGAATCTTATCTTATACAGAAGATTAAGTATGATATATCAAAAGTACACTGTCACCACTTCGTTACATCCACGTCCCCACGTTCGCTCATGTTACAATTTGATGACCATGCATTTTGATAATAGTCCTGCAGCGTAGTTTCCATCGCTAGATTTTTAGTCCTAAAGCATACCACACCTCTCTACATTTTTTCCATAATCCATTTAGTGTTCGAGCACAACGGTTTCCCAGCACCTGTTTCAATGGTCCGATTGCACAGAAATTGATTGGCGCTGCATCCGGTGACTTGGTCGGAATTTCTTCGTAAAGAATGACATGGATGTCTATTTCATTCTTAAGCCGCGTGAGGTATGCAACGGTTGAACGGAAGGTAGGACTGGAAACTTTATATTGTTGAACCGAAAGCCAGTTGACCTTGTTTCTAGGTAGAGATACTGCTGCCTGGGACACGTCCATGCATTTTATTTATCACGGCTGAGATACAAATTGTCACAGGTCTTTTTCTGGATGTTTCTGGCGAAGTTGATACAGAGTTTTGTTTTCAAATGCCATTAAGTATAAGGGCTACCCTCTTCTTGGAGATTCTATATCCTTATTCTGACCACATGTTTATATTTCATGTGTATCACATCATATCACATTACCTACAAAACCCCAAATATTGTAAAAAAAATTAGTCCCGATACATGTTGTTCAACCGCGACTTTATATAGGATGTCGCTGTCACATGACTTGTTTATTTGCATAGTTTTAATTAATATACTCACTCTGTATTAGAACCTCTATTTGGTAGCGCATACACAATTCTGGAACATTATTTTATTACACGTTACACCTTTTACGGTAAGGAAGAATATTAAAAAAAAACAGCTATGACGTTAAGCTCACTGATGCGATCATTCTGAAGTACATAGGTTTTAACTTGAGAATGATCACACCAGTGATAGAAACGTGGTAGTTGATATAAATAATATTTTCTTACGGTAAAAGCTATAACTTGTAATACGTTAATACTTATAATCAGTAAGTATACTCAAAACGAAACTATTAATTCTAGAATATGATCCAATATATTCATGTTCGTGATAACTACGAGTTTGGTGTCTTGTTGGTGTAAGTTGTAAGCAGTAACTGATAACAAGTTAATTTCATTCGTATGAGTTGATGTTATAATTGCAATTTTTTATATCATACTAATGATTACATGATTGATTTGTCTTGTAGTAAGGCAAAATCATATATTTTAAGGCAACGTTTCCCAAACTTATGTCACCTATGCCCCCTTTAATAAATATGGTTTCTTGTGTGCACCCCTTTTTCTAAATAAATGAAAGAGTCTGTTAAATGACGAAATATAATACACGGATACACATTAATGTGCTACATTAGTTGTAATAATTATTAATATGCTACATTAGTTGTAATAATTATTAATATGCTACATTAGTTGTAATAATTATTAATATGCTACATTAGTTGTAATAATTATCAATATGCTACATTAGTTGTAATAATTATCAATATGCTACATTAGTTGTAATAATTACGCATTATTCTCCTTAATAAAAAATATATTAAAACACTTAATTTTGCATTATTGCGCTATTAACCCTACCCTAATCGCTCGCGCCCCAATGCTGTTTTAAGGATGTCTTTATTTTACTACTATCGAAAACTGCTAGTCGTCAATGGTAAATACATATTACGTACTTTGGGAAGGCCTTGTGTACGTTATAAGGGTGACAGTTAAATTCCAATATTCATTTAGAGAAATTCAAGAATTAGCGATGGATGTTGTTGACTAGTTCTAATTTATCATTTAAAAATTAGGAATTAATCTTATCTAGCTTTGCGCGAATATCCGAAATAAACAAACAAGCAATTAGTTGTGGAGGAAACTGATATGGTTATCTAAACAACTCTTCGTATCTATGTATGTAGGAATCTTAGAAAATATAAAGAACTTTGTAAGGTGTTAGATCTATTCTAATGCGTTCTTATTCGTTTAAACCACACCGTTATACAGCATACACACTGATATATATATATATAAAAGTGTGTGTTACGCAAGACTATGTATATTTATAAATTGTTCATCTATATACCTTATTCAGCTTGTGTAGATATGGATATATCCTAAGTCGCAACCAAGATAAAGATAGTGGACTTGAAACTAGGTACACCACATATATAATATACATGAGATTTAGCTTTGTTCATATTATATTTATGTATTCTTCTGAATACGCTTAGGTTTGTGCATATATTTATGTAAATAAATAATTCAATTCTCGCTCAAAAGTTAAGCCAGATAAAACTCACTTATGTTTTTATTACCTAATTACTGAAAACAAAGATGTTTTATGTAATTCATATCTAATAACTAGAAAACATGGAACATTGTATGAACTTTATAGAAAGTAGTATGATTGAATTTATGCTGCATGAAAAGTATCTCAAAGGTACAAAAACAGCTGTAAGAATACTAAGACTGCTGAAAGAATACTAAGACTGCTGTAAGAATACTAAGACTGCTGTAAGAATACTAAGACTGCTGAAGGAATACTAAGACTGCTGTAATAATACTAAGACTGCTGAAAGAATACTAAGACTGCTGAAAGAATACTAAGATTGCTGTAAGAATACTAAGACTGCTGTAAGAATATTAAGACTGATGAAAGAATACTAAGACTGCTGTAAGAATACTAAGACCGATGAAAGAATACTAAGACTGCTGTGAGAATACTAAGACTGATGAAAGAATACAAAGATTGCTGTAAGAATACTAAGATTGCTTAAAGAATACTAAGACTGATGAAAGAATACTAAGACTGCTGTAAGAATACTAAGACTGATGAAAGAATACTAAGACTGCTGAAAGAATACTAAGATTGCTAAAAGAATACTAAGACTGCTGAAAGAATACTAAGACTGATGAAAGAATATTAAG